AAAAAAAAAAAAAAAAAAAAAAAAAAGAATGGTCTTTAAGAGAAAAAAATGACAGAGTATACAAATCTTCATGAATATTCACGAGTCCTTAGTACTATAATCTTCAATTGTGAAGTTCTGTCAAGTTAATAACCCTATGACATATAAGTAGTATGTTTAAGAAGTTCACTATGGTGTTTCTATTTAACTAATATGCTTCTTTTTTCCTGATATCCTCAATCACTTTCTAAAAGCAAAGAATTAAGTATTAATCACATCATTGAAAAACCTACTTTGAATGGAGAACATAAATTTAAAATGGATTAACTTTCAAATAAGAAACAAAAAAAGGTGGGGAGGCTAGGCTACTGCAGTTAAGGAAAAAAAAAAAAACCCTGAAATACACGAAACATAATTACAAATCAGCCATAACAGCTGGTAAGCATACGAAGATTCACAGATCAAAGTGAATTAAACAAAGGTTATCTAGAAATGAAAATTTTCACTCCATCTTTTCCTTGAAATAGAAAAGGTGAACCTCAATATAAAAGACTGTATCTCCCCAAAAGATTTTCTTAATATAAAGTTATTTCCCTTACTACTGATAATAGTATATGCTATAAGACACTTCCTACACCATTCAGTAACAGAAACAGTCACATACCTAGAAATTCTAAAGGCTGATCTCTCCACTTCATTCCCAGAGTAAAGGGCTGCAAAAGCCTTTGGAACTGACATACCTCTTATATTTAATGTTTTTACTATGAAATACAATAAAGGTAAAGTATAATGTATGCAACTATTTACAACAGTTAAATACCCATTTAGTATGCGGAGTTGGTAACTAAATGAGCAAGAATTTCTTACTGGAGTGATGGAAACATGATGCTGGTTATACTACACTGTGAAAGAAATTAATGCCACTCATTGAACTGCACGTCTAAAAATGATTAAAAAGGCAAACTGCATATTAAATATATTTGATCATAGTTTTAAAAATTACACAGACACATACCCCTTTGTAGCCGCCAGCATGTCTGAAGCACCTCTCCATGTGGCTCCCTTACTCCCCTCTAAGAATAACTACTATCCACTCAGCTCATCATTCCCTTGTCTTTCTAGTTTTGCCACTAAACAACTCATTTGGTCTGAAAAGCTTTGAACCTTTTTTTTTTTTATGTAACAGGAATTAAACTGTATGTATTCTTTCAGTTTTATTTTCTCATCATCATATTCATGAGGTTCATTTGCTGCTGCTATGGCTGTATAACATTCCACTATATGATTACAGTTACTTATCCATTCTAATGTCCATTCCAGCTTTACTCTTATAAACAGTGTTGCAACAAACATCTTTGTACAGAATAAGCAGAAGTAGCTCTAAGGAGCAGTACTGCTGGGTTACAGAGTATATTCTTCATGTGGTCTTATCAGGAAATTCCACATTGTTTCAAGAGTTACTCTGGCTTCTCACCTTTACCAAAACTTGATATTGTCTGCTTTAAAAAAAAATTATTTATTTATTTAGAGAGAGAGGCTCTTGCTGTGTTACTCAGGCTGGAGTGCAGTGGCACCATCATGGCTCACTGCAGCCTCAAACTCCTGGGCCCAAGCCATCCTACCGCCTTGGCCTCCCAGGCAGCTGGGCCTACAAGGCACGTGCCACCATGCCCAGCTCATTTACTGTCTGCTTTTTAATGTCTGCCACACTGATGGGGGAGTAGAGGGGCATGACAGAAAGACACGTCTTATTGTTTCAATGGCCTTACTTTTTCTCCTTCCACATTTGTTTTGGTTTGGTTGTGGTATTTTCCATATGTAACACTTTTTCTTACTGTGCATCCATTATAAAGCGTAACAACATAATACAATAAATATTTGTGAACCTACCATCCAACTTCAAAACAGTACCAAAACTCTGAATCTATTCATCTGCCCCTTCCCTATTCTATCCAACTGTGTTCTCACCCAGGAGTAACTATTTAGTCCCTTACTCACCCAAATTATCTATCTTGAGCCAGGGCACAAAGATGAGTGGGACAGATAAGCCTATGCTAGAGCCCAAATCTAGCAGAGAAAATGGCTGACTGCTTTATGAATCCTGTTCCTCTGACTGCAAGAAAGTGTGCATATATACACACTTTAGAGAATCCAGAAAGCATGGAAGGAACAAGAGTAAAATAAAAACTGAATCCCCTCAGCATGAGGTAACTTTTAAAATGGGAGTGTATTTACTTCTAGTCTTTCATCAATGAGTTACTCCCAGGGCCATCCACGCCTTCTCTCCAGGATGCCCATTTCACATACTCCTCTCAACCTGCAACATTCCTCCCTCATCACACGCACAGCCCATTAAGTTACTTTCTATGTCACCGTAAAATAAAAGCCTCCCACAGGCTCCCATCACATTTACATACCCACCAGCATCCACAACCATCTATTTGCTTCTCTTCTACAGTGGCAGGTGAGCAGACCAGGCCATCTACCTATGCACTAATTCCCACCCCCCTCACACATTCTTGGACATCACTCTAGCATGCACCTTCACCAATTTTCCCCTTCTTCAAAATCTTTTGAGTCAAGGTCTTGCTCCGTCACCCAGGCTAGAGTACAGTGTTGTGATCATAGCTCACTACAGCTTCAAAATGGGGTCAAGTGAGCCTCCTGAGTAGGTGGGACTACAGGCACATGCCACCATGCCTAGGTTTTAATTTTTAAAGATTTTTTGTATAGACAGGGTCTTACTATGTTCTCCAGGTTGGTCCTAAACTCCTGGCCTCAAATGATCCTCCTGCCTCAGCCTTCCAAGGCAGTGAGATTACAGGGATGAGCCACTAGGCCTGGCCCTACCACATTTAAAGTAAAAGTCACAGTCCTTCCCATGGCTTATAAGGCCCTGAGTCATCTGGGGTGAGCTACTTCTCTGAACAAGCTCCCGCCTCTCCCTGTCCACTCTCTATTCCAGTCATGTTTCTGCCTTGGGGTCATTTTACTTATTAATGTCTCTGGATGTGTGTGAAACATATGACTACTTCTAGTCAACAGACTACATGAAAGAAAAGCTCATTTAAAGCTTTCAATTTAAAGGTAAACGAGTAAGAAGTTTCTAAAATTGCCTAGAAAAAAAAGGTTCTATAATCTCAATATTATTTGTCCATTCACAGTCTCATTTTGAAAAACAAACAAAAAACACCACAGTTGGCCCAAATCACTTAAGGCACTAAATAAGAATAAGCACATTTATTCTTATTTTAGCCTTAGGAGAACTTGGAAAGCTCAGAGTGAAGGATGGGGAAGCAAAAACAAATAAGCTTTTATCCTGAAATTTTCTAATTTTTATTCCCCCACAACTGTGGAACACGTTTCCTCCATTACTTTTTGGGTATTCTTTAAGTATAACAAGCGTAATAATTTAGTGAAATCATACTGACAAAATGAACAAATAAACAACAGACTTATATTGACAAGCTTCTTAGGTGTGCGTGATAGAAAGATGTCATCACCATGTTCTTCAGGGCAGAATCCTGATTAGTCATGCATCACTTAACAGGGGTACATTCTGAGAAATGGATCGTAATGTAATCTTATACATTATAGCGTACTTACACAAACCTAGATGGCACAGCCTACTACAAACCTAGGCTACACGGTATAGCCCATTGCTCCTTAGCTGCAAACCTGTAGGGCATGTTACTATACTAAATATTGTAGGCAATTTTAACACAATGGTATTTGTGTATCTCAATATAGCTAAACATAGAAAAGGTACAGTACAAATATGGTATTATAATCTTATAGGACCACCATCATACATGTGGCCTGTCATGTACTAAAATGTCAGTATGTGGCACATAACTAGATAGGCACTCATCAGCATATATTGTGCTTATTCTTGAAGAGCCAGCTCATTTGGCTGCCTTTTATGATGATGTCTATGATACAGATTTGTTTTTAAAATGAACCTACCATTAGATAATCAATACTTACTTTGTATCTGTACTCTGATTTCATCCCTAGGCATTATTCTTCGTACTCCACCTTTCTCATCTATCTGTCACTACTTCAAATGACAAATAAAATTTTTAATGGTAATTCTCCTCTTCAAGTTGTTACCCACACCAGTGTCTGAGTCTCATTTTTTTTGACCCTGTTGCCTAGACTGGAGTGTAGTGGTGCCGTCATAGCTCACTGCAGCCTCAAACTCCTGGGCTCAAGTTATCCTCCCACCTCAGCCTCCTGAGTAACTGGGACTAGAGGTATAAGCCACCGTGCCTGGCCTAAATCTAAATTTTTTAATTATATACTAAGGAAAGTTTTCAACAGCCAGGTCCAAACTACTTATGTGTAATTTGCTGAGACAAGATAACATCAAATAAAAGCAAAATACAGTATACATATTCCTTCTATTTAAACAAACAGCTCCAGAAACCTTGAACAGAGAGAGAATCACAGTCTGAAAGGTTCATTCTTAAAAAAACTAAATGGCAATGAGTTTAATCTTCTTATCAACAGCAATTTCTATTAATTCTGAAATACTCTTCTTATGGAATATTTGAGACTATCTCTAAATCTGCCTCCTAATAAAATTTAAATAACGGGATCTAGAAACTAAAGAATAATATCATGTAAGGATACAGCCATGTAATACTGGAAGTGCAAACCGATGAACCTGAAATGAAGATATATATTTAGAATAAATACACTTTAAAAATAAATAGGCATTATATAAAAATATTTACACAAAGGGAAGTAATATACAAACATAAAGTAGTAAACGTATGGGTAATATAATTTTTTAAAAAATTCTCTAATGTAACATTAAGTATGCATTACAATCATTTGAGCTTGAAAATTCAAAGATTTTGGAACACTAATAAAGCTACATGAAGTTACAGAATGTTTACCTCCTTTTCAGTCTTTGCCTACAACAACTTCACTCCTCCAGGGAAAAGATATCCCATGCTAATTGTTTGCAGCTCAAACTACTTTTCCAAAAAAAGCATAGCAAATGACAAGAAATAAAGTAATTAGACACATCTATTTACCTGGATTCAATAATATATCATGTTTTCCTAGCTGGGCCTCCCTGTTTATACCTCTCATGTGTAGACAAAGGACAGAAAAAGGTGATGCCTGTGCATGTGTCTCCTGGGTAACTGAAGGGAGTCTTATCCCCAAAGGAAGACAACAACAGAGTTCTCCCCTTGGCCAGGGAACTTGACCCTGGCCCCTCATTTCTCCATTATTCATGTACCAAGACCCACTGTACCTCTCTTAGTTAGATAAAGCTGTGTGTTTTTACTTAAGCCTTCTACAGAAGATCAGAGTAAAATAATTAGGCTTCAACCTAGAATGATGTGACAGGGAAGATCTGATCAAAGTTTATAAGTTATAAACAGAGTTAAATTAGAATTGTTTCTCAAAACCCTTGGTGATTAGGAAGTCATTTTATAACATACATTGAATTAAACCTTGGACTGTAAAAATTAGGCAGATTTTATTTAGCATACATTACCTCTGGCTGCGCAGAAAGTTCTCTTAGAAGATGACCATTCCATACAAACCGCTGATCTGCCTGAGAGAAGTTTTAAAATTTACTAAAATATCTCCTGCCAAGCTTGTTTTCTACAGAAAGAAAACTACCAATCAATGTCTCCATCTGATGGTTAGAAGCAGGTTTGACAGGCCTCAAACAAAATACATCTCCCCCTCAAAGCTGTACCTCCTGTGGGCATTCCTGCCTCATTGTCTAAGGCCAGACAGAAATCTGGGAGAAGTCTTAGGGTATTTCTTTCCCTTTCACTTAATTAATTGTCAAGTACTAGCCCTCCTTCAAAATCCATCTTTTTTACATTTCTATTCCTGCCATCCTTGACCAACATTTGACTCTAACCTAACTACCAAAACAGCCTCCCTTGCCTCCAGTTTAGGTGTTAGCCCTCTCTACCCATTTGTCTGCAACACTGCCAGTAGGAGTTCTCTAACATGTCCTGTCTCCTATCTGCTCAAAATTCTTCAATGACTGTCATTTAAAGAACCAAATCTCTGCATGGCCTAATCAGTCCTAGGATTTGGAAACCCCTAATTAACTCTCTGATCTCATCTCTGGCCACTCTGACTTTTATACATACAGAAGAAGCTCCCTCAACAATCTATATTTGTTCAACTCTACTTAGGGCCAGGGGTGGTGGCTCACGCCTGTAATCCTAGCACTTTGAAAGGCCAAGGCAGGCGAATCACGTTGAGACTTAGGAGTTCAAGACCAACAAGGCCAACATGGCAAAACTCGGTCTCTACTAAAAGTACAAAAATTAGTTGGGCGTGGTGGCACGTGTCGGCACGTGTCTGTCATCCCAGTTACTTGCGGAGGCTAAGTCACAAGAATCACTTGAGGCCAGGCGCAGTGGCTCACACCTGTAATCCTAGCACTTTGGGAGACCGAAGCAGGCAGATCACGAAGTCAGGAGATCAAGACCATCCTGGCCAACATGGTGAAACCCCGTCTCTACTAAAACACAAAAAACTAGCCAGACATGGTAGTGCACACCTGTAGTCTCAGCTACTTGGGGGGCTGAGACAGGGGAATCACTTGAACCTGGGAAGCAGAGGTTACAGTGAGCCAAGATCGCGCCACTGCATTCTAGACTGGGTGACAGAGCAAGACTGTCTCAGAAAAGAAAAAACAAAATAATTGACTCTACTCAGTAGATAATCAATTCTATTTATGAAGTATACCAACTGAACCACCCCACACCTTCAACTGTAAAAGTCACAGGGAATGGCTTTTGCACTTGGCCACAACCAGCTGAATCTCACTTCCTGAGATTCAAGTGTATGTTTCCGAGTGGTTTGTGCCAGTCATTCTTATTATTCATCATTGTATAGTTTAACTAAATATTTTATAAACCAATGAAATAAGATGAAAAACAGACTGCTGTTTCTATGAAGTTAAATAATTTGGAATCTAACTTGATAAGTGGCAAGTTGCTAAAACAAAACTGCTGTTGAATTCGGAGTGGGAGTGGCAACTAAAAAAATATAAGAATCTACAGAATTCTGCACACAGATTTTTCCTTAAGTGTCAAAATCCTTAAAGTGGCCCAAAAGGGAAAGCCTTATGGATGTAATTTACACAAGGAAGACAATTCAGAATCGAGGAACCAAAAACAAAGAAAATCCTATAGCTGTATATAAAAACATTGACCAATGTAAAATTTTATGTTTTAAGTTAAAATGTTTAGGTATACATGTTCCATTTATCACTTTTATGATTTCCTAGGTTAACTTTTTTTTTTAGGCAGAGTCTTGCTGTTGCCCAGGCTGGAGTGCAGAGGGGTGATGACAGCTTACTGCAGCCTCTATCTCAAGTGATCCTCCCACCTCAGCCTTCCAAGTAGCTAGGATTACAGGTGCATGCCACCACATCTGATTAATTTTTAATTTTTTGTAGAGATGTGGTCTCCCTATGTTGCCCGGGCTGGTCTCGAACTCTCGGACTCAAGCAATCCTGCCTCAGCCATGCAAAGTGTTGAGATTACAGGTATGAGCCACAACACCTGGCTAACTGACTTTCTGATTAGCTGACAAAGAATTCCCATCTCATCCCAACAGATGAGATGGCTTTTTCTTCAGCTTAGCCTCTGCCACCACCTCTGCCTGGGACCCTCCCTGGCCCACTGTCACCTGACCAACAAATCTTCAAGTCTCAGCTCAAAACCTTCCTGTGTCAAGTTACTGTCCTCTGTAGATACCTTTCTTTATAAAGTTGTCCCTGACACCCCCAAGCAAAGACCCTCATTCCTTCAGGATCCCACCTCACTTTGGTACATTATCTCAATTACAGCAACCATTCTCTGACTATTGCTTCCCCAGCAGACTGTAGGCTCCCACAAGACAGGTTCCACAGTCTCATTCTGGGTCCCCAGAGGCTAGTACCTGGTACAGGGCTGACATTGTAGAGATGTTTCATAAACAAACGGAGAATGTAAAAACTGCTTTTAAAAGCAACAGTCTCTTTGTAGTTAAAAGCCAAGTTTCTTGACGGCTTAGCCTGCACCTAAACTTCCATCTAAGCCTACATGCAATTTTACTAGAGTGGAAAATCTTACCCCCCCAAAAAAAAAAAAACCAGTCAACTAAATTACTAATTATCTAAATTCAACTACTTTAAATTACCCATTATTATTGGTCAAAAATGGTCAATTACCAGCAACTTCATATTGTCCAATCTAATAGGTATCACGCAGCGACCTTTTAAATTCTGTCTTCTCATTAAACATCTAAGGTATGCCAAAAAAAATTAAGGCAGCAATTATCCAGGGTCCTCAACAAAAGAAACTTTAAGTTGAGACCATCTGCAACCTAATTTTAAAGATATATTCATTATATATTAAAAAAAAAAAAAAAAGGCCGGGCGCGGTGGCTCACGTCTATAATCCCAGCACTTTGGGAGGCCGAGGCGGGTGGATCACGAGGTCAAGAGATCGAGACCATCCTGGTCAACATGGTGAAACCCCGTCTCTACTAAAACTACAAAAAATTA